AAAAATTGTCCTTCCCGCCCCTTCCTAAAAAGGGGTATCAGTTTTAGGGGGAAATCTAGAACGGGGTAACAATTTTAAGGGAAATATTTTTTAGAACGGGGGGCCAATTTGGAGCCCCGGGCGGCCCAACCCCACCCAAAAAAAACCTAAAGGCCCTCCCCCCCCCCCCCCCCCCCGGGAAAATGCCCTTTTGTCTGGCGCTGATTCTTCGTAAAATGAGGGAAACTGGTCACCCGTGAAACCTCAGTGAGAAAGGTGAGAAACCTTTTTGAATACTGATATATTCGGATCGGGATTTGCCGATAAAACCGCCAAGTTTGCGTAAAGATCAGGAGCCCCTAACCCCTAACCCTTCATCTTTATTCCTCCCCAGTCACCTCTTTGTTACTGTCAGTTCAGTCCAGAAAAGACTAAAGGACCTGGAGATGAGCTATCCCATCAAGCCTTGGGTTCGTAGGTTTAAACATGGCGGATAAAATTTATCTTTCAGAGCAATCAGGGAATAAATCGAACACTTTGTAGGTAAAGAAATGGCTGAAAAATTCTACGCAGTTGTGATTTCTGCGTTGGCTGCCATTCTGGTTCGATGGTGTGTGTCTCTCAGTCCATATTCAGGTAAGATATGGCTAGAAAGGCGGATGAAAAGCAACTTGTTTGAAGAGAAATCTGGTCCTTAACCGGATGTTTGCTTGGTCGACTCTCTAGGAAAAGGAAAGCCACCGATGTTTGGAGATTACGAAGCGCAGAGACACTGGATGGAAATAACTTATAATCTACCAGTTGATGAATGGTAAGGTGCTGAAGAAATTATTGCGTATCAGGCCATATTTTGCCCTAAGTTAATTACAGCCTAAATTAAGCCTCCCGCCTCTAGAAAAGCCCCCACCCCTTCCCCTCAAAGGGGTTTGAAATAAGTACCCGCCCCCCTGGGGGGGCCTGAATTGAGGATTTACGGTAAGTGTGACAGCTGTCAAACTGCTTTGACCAGTAGACCAATTCATGGAGCATGCCATGTGTTACGTCTGTGAATAGCACAGTAATGGGTGTACAAAATTCTGTTGAAAACCCTGGTTGGTAATCAAGTGTACCAAAGTCGCTATACACACACACACTATAACTAGGCATTTTAATAAAATACTGATTATCTCTTCATTTTCGAGATTATCCTTGTCAAAGATATGTAGACCTTTAAACCATTCCTCTTGAATCCCTACTATTTATGAAAGAAAAGGGGCAGTGGTGGAGGGGGCGTATATTTAACATCATGGCCTAGGGGATGGGTGCTTATTCTGGTAATTTGCTTGATGTTAATCTTCAGGTACAATAACACCACAAACAATGACTTGATGTATTGGGGCCTGGATTATCCACCATTAACTGCCTATCACAGCTGGATTTGTGGGTTCATGTGAGTGCTGTCTAAACAATAAATTAAAATGCATCATTGCAAGGTTTACAGCTATTGCAAAATGGCGACAACTTTATTATTCTTTTATATTCAAGTAAATTAGCCCTGCATGCCTCAATTCCACCTAGAAATTCTTTTGAATTCTAAAGATGCGATGGAGGCATCGAGGGCCAATTAACATAACTATAAAAGAATAATAAAATTGTCCCTATTTTGGAAGAAGGTGTATATCAGTAAATGCATGACCATAGCTCAAAAGTTATATGGATGTTGTCTACGAAAAATTCCTGTTGTGCTTTAAGAAAAGGTCTGAGGGCCCTATTAGTGTTGGGCATTGGGGTGTATAAAAAAAAACTGAAAAACCGCTCTAAAAATTACCCAAAACCGAAAAACCGCAACAGACTTTGATCCAAACTGAAAACCGAATACAAAACCATCAAAATGGAAGATTTATACAGCTCAATTTTTAAAACCCTAGTCTAGATCTCAAACGGTGGTGATATATTGTGGAACATATGGACTAAATGGTAAAATAATTCTAGAACAGCTCCCCAAAAAATATGTCGGCCATCTGTCGGAAGACTGTCGACCGACCTATTGTCCTTTCTCTGAATTCAAAAACCCTTTTTACTGGTAGTCATTATGTCCCTAACTTTCTAGTAAGGATTTACGTTTTTTGACCATCTTTTTCAGAGCAAACAAGATAAATCCAAGCTGGATTGCACTTAACAAATCTAGGGGGCATGAAAGTCATGAACATAAGTTATTTATGAGATACACAGGTAGAATTTTTTTTTCAAATCCAGTATGTAGTTTGACTGTTCATAGTCCCTATTTTTTTGTAAGATCGTTGGGATAGCACCTAACTTTATGGGCAGCTGCTTTGGCTTCAAATGTGTTGACTGAGTTTGGGGGGGGGGGGGGGCACCCCAAACCCTTAAAAAAAGGGGGGGAGGGGGGTCCCCAAAAAAATTTTTCAGGCCCCCGGTTGGGTTAAAAAAAAAAAAGGGGGGGGGGGGGGCCCCCAGGCCCCCCCCCCGGAACCCCCCCCCCCCCTTTTCCCCCCCCCTGTATGAGTGTTTGTTGTTTGGTAGGTTGTGTGTTGGTTTGTGTTGTGGTTGTTGGTGTTATTGGGTCTGGGGGGGGGGGGGGTGCGGGGCGTGTGGGAGCGGGCTTTGTGGGGGGGTGGGGGTGGTGGGGGGGGGGGGGGGGGGGGGGTCATCCAGACCCTTAGATAAGAGGGGGGAAGGCAGTCTCCAAACAAATTTTTCAGGGCCTCAGTTTGGTCTAAAAATCATAAGGAGGGGGCGGTGGCCCCCAAGGCCCCTCCCCTGGAACCGCCACTGCCCTGTTCACCCCATCAGTATGTGTAAAACTATAAAGATGGCTGCCAAATGTGTTGACTGAGTTTAGGGGGGGCGGTCATCCACCCTTACTTCAGCCGATCAAATGGTTATTTCTTTGATTATTTTAACAGTGTTGGTTGCTGATGTACTAGTATACATCCCTGCAGTCTTTCAGTTCTCATTTCTTTGCTTGGGAAGAAAACCTGCCTTAAATAAGGTAAAAACGATAACCGTAATAAAAAAGGTATCTTTGTAATAATTATTAATACAGCATTGATTTTGTTTGGAAGTAAGCTAGTCTTCTGTAGCCTGCATGAGCAGATGCCCTTTTCAGCTTTTGTTTCACATGCCCCATGGAGAGAAGCTACAAACAGAAATGCAGCTGCGTTCACAGACTAAACATCCTTTTCATTCAATCGGCAGCAGGAATAGCTCAGTCGGTAGATTGCTTGATTGCAGAGTGGGGGGTCGCGGGTTCAATTCCCGGGGCCGGAGCATTACTCAGGGTCTTAAATAACTGAGAAATGAAGGTACCGCCTTTTCCCTGCAAATGGCTAGACCTTTGCGTGGCTCGGATGACCACCTAAAACGGCAGTCTCCAGTAGGAGATGTAAAAATAGTGTCCCCAATTAGCACTTTGGTGCTAAATACATTGACACTGAAATAAAGTGTATTTTACGTGATTGTCTAGATCTAGAAGAGGGACAGTTTTTTGTTGACTAGACCCAGACCTCTTGATTGGCCAATACATTTGACATCATAGACTCAAGATACATATACTAAGCCTGATGTGAGAAATGGCTGGTGAAACATAAATATGACAAGAAACCCTCAATGTTACTAGAGTGTGTTTCCGTGACTTTATGAAATGACTTTAACTTTATAAATGAAACAATTCACTTTTAAGCCATAAGTGCACACTGTAACTGGAAAGTGAAGTAACAGACTAGATATAGGCCATCACACACATAGCCTGTGCCAGAGACAAAGTTAAATTCTGGTTAAGTCTGTAAAACAGGACAGAAAAGCTTGTTCTGGCCCCCACCTGTGTACAAGGATTTGAGTACGTGACATGAATATATAAATTATGTGAAAAAAAAAACAACAAACAAACAGTGCACACCCCGTTCTTTCTTGTGCCTTGTACTTTTAAGTACCTGTCCCCAAACTGATTGGGTGTCTTTTGTTGTTTCTTTGTTTGTTTTTAATTGAGTGCTTCCTTCCATCTTCTAGGTTCTGATTGCATCTGTCATTCTTTTTTATCCTGGATTAATTCTCATAGATCATGGACACTTTCAGTATCCTTGAACGTTCTGTCAACGGAAAGTTTTAATTTATACTTTACTGTATCTTTCCTCGAACTATAAAGGCCCAAAAGAAGGTATAGAGATAAGCAGATTTTAAGCTATTTTTTGTGTAAATTTTGAATTGATAATATTGTGAATTCTTAAAGTGCAGTGAATTTGAAATTTATTTTTATCACCACTCCATTCTATTACAGGGACTTACTTCACTTCCTCCAAGCCTGTGGTTGACATATATTCTCTTATCTAAATGTGAAGATTGCTTGTTTATATAATTTGATTGATAACGATGTTATGATGAGGAGGATGACGACGATGACGATGATGATGATGATGGTCATGACGACGTTGATGACGAGGACGATGATGATGATGATGATGGTGGTGGTGGTGGTGGTGGTGGTGGTTTGGAAGAGTTTGATTTTGGCGTTGTTGATGATGTGGGTACTCATCCACAAGCGATAGCTTCTTGAAAGCCGTCTATGCAAGTGCCTTCTGGCCAGTATGATCGCTCTAGTTAGTTAATACCCTAAGCCCTGTTGATGTTCATTGCATACTAATCCTTGACAAGTAACTTCAGATATAACGCCATAAGCCTTGGTTTGGCATTGTGGGGTGTTATAGGGCTAGCGCGTGGTCATGATCTCCTAGGGTCAATCGCGTACACACTGGCATTAAACTACAAGCAGATGGAACTTTATCATGCGTTTCCTTTCTTTTTCTATTTATTAGGGAAGTCCTTGCAAGAAAAGTCATGGTAAGGTTTCCTTTTTTCCTAAAAATGTAATTGTAAATGCTCTAATAATAGCGAATGTAAAACAGTTTTTCTTTGACTTAGCGACAATGTAGCTTTCCGATACTCCTCGCTAATGATCGCAAGCAAATAATTTTAACAGTCCAAATTAAACATAGTCGTGGAAACATGATTGGAATCTCACTTTTCGTGAGACGGACAAGTTAGCTAATCACAAGCGTGGAAAATGAATTTAAAAAATAAACTATCGAATTACTTCTTCCCAGCACGCCGGCCTCGTCCACACGTATCCGGATATTTTTGAAAACTGAGATTTTTTCTCCGTTTTAGCCTCCTGTCCGCACGTCAACGGCGTTTTTGCGCAACAAAAACGCAGGTTTTCGAAAACGGTCCCCAGCGAAGATTTTTTTGTAAACGACTGCTGATCGTTTCGCGCGGATGGGCGGAAACGGAAGCTGGCTAATCTGACAGTGATGTCATACATCATAAAGTGCATGTCCTGTAAGGGGTGCCATCATATTTCCATTGTTTTAGCGTTTTCGTGCGGACAGACTGAAACGATTCGAATACGATGCGTGTGGACAACTGAAGGCCTTATACTGTGGTTGATTTTTGCAGTATATTTTTCATGACTTTCAAGACGACCCTCTCTCCTGATTCCTTTGTAGGATTTCAAGAATGTTTAGCATTGCCAAATTAGGAATTGTTGTTATTGTGACGTTCATTTTGTGGTAAGTTTACTTTCAGCAATATAGTAAAGGAAGAACACTTCACTCTTTAGACAACAAAATGGTAGTATTTTTTTTTCTTGAAACCATAGTCTTGCTTAAGGGCCACTCTCCGGACTATCAAGCGAGCAAGTACATTACGTTATAAAATTTTTTTTTTTTCTTATCTTCAGAACTCAAGTATAATGGTGGTGTACCATATTTATTTCTCTCGTTGCGGTTTTATTTTTGAGTTGAAATGTAACCCAGTGTTCTCTAAAATGGCTGCGTCACCATGTCTAATTTCTCTCTAGTTGGTTGCCGTTTTTGACCGGACTTCCAGCGATTTTACAAGTTCTTCATCGGCTCTTTCCATTTGCAAGAGGTCTCTTTGAGGTACGTATATGAAGACTCTGAAAAATGGATGCGCTACTTAGTGTTATATTTAAAAAACTGCATTTTAAACGTTTTTCAGTTGCTTATTTCATCAATTGCTTTTTGCTGTTATCACTGCTGTCGTCGTTTTCATTACATCATCTCCCTACCTAGCGAGGGCCGCGCTTTACATACTCAGGTTTTCACTGTGCATTTTCTATGAACACCCGCGAAAAAGACGAACGTTTTGAAACCTCGTATTTTAGAAACGGCTGCTTTTATAGCCAGCATCAAGCCAGGAAAATCCGTGTCTGCATGTGCGATGAATACATTTAAAACTGATTTTTTTTTCTCCAGGACAAGGTTGCAAATATTTGGTGCTCCATTTCTGTTCTTATCAAAGTCAAAAGAGTTTTAACCCAAACACAGATCATTAAACTCAGGTTAGTTATTACCTTTTACGCGAGAAACTGGTCGATGTTGTGCCAAAGTGCACTATGGGACTTTTTTGGGACCCTTTAACGCTAAACGCCACTTCCACATTTTCCATAATGCACCTTATTTGCTCCCCTAAATTTTGCATAAGCATGGTTTTCAATTTCTCTTGGGACGGCTGTAATACCCACGAGAAATGAAAAACAAAGGTTATGCAGAATTGGGGGGTGGGAGGGGGGGGAACAAATTAGGTGCATTATGGGAAATGTGTAAGTGGCGTATTACGAGGTTGCGCAGGAAAATGGGTAAAAATTCGTCCCCTAAAACAGACCCACAACCTACTTTCCCTCTATTTGCCAAATCAAATTGAGTAGCTCTTGTGTTAGCCTGCGTCGCACCTGTCATTTAATCCAGGTTAGTAACGTCTACGTCTCCTATCCTTGTTCCGGGCCGTCAAAAGACTCAACTAATTCCCCTGGAAAGCGTCACAAATTTCCTTTCATCTTGATTGGTAAATCAACAATGGCATTTTTAACAGGCCAATCACGGCGCGTACGCAAATCCTGGAACACAGGTGGGGGCACAGAACAAGGATTCCGGCGCTGTTTCGCAGACGAAGTTAACCTGGCCCCGGTTGTTCAAATGTTGGATAGCGCTATCCACCGAATAAATCACTATCCAGTTGATAGATATTAGGGAAACCGATTACGTTATCCATTGGTTAGACATTTATCCATCGGATTGCCCTATCCACGTTTTGAACAACTGGGGCCAAATGTTTAGTTCCGTCTATGGCACAGGTTAACTTTGTGCCCAAGCATAAGGTAAATGTTACGCAATGCACAGCAGTTTAGGATCATCATACGTTTCTGGGAAACTGCCCACCTACCCCTCCCCCAAGCCAACATTAACACTTACCTCTCACTTAGGGCAAAATGATGACTTAGGTTAGGGGTAGGTGGAAAGTTCCTTGATGTTGAGGACGGTTGCGATTATCATTATACGTTTCTGGCAAGCTGTCCGCCTACCCCTCCCCTAAGCCAAGATTTTGCCCTAAGTGAGAAGTAAGTGTTAATGTTGGCTTAGGGGAGGGGTTGGTGGGCAGTTTCCCAAGAGAACCAACAAATAGTCTCCGCAACAACAAGAAACAGCCCAATGCACGGTAAGCGTTCTGACTGGGAGGTGACTTGCTCTAATCTCAAAACAAAACAGGCGAAACAGCTGTGCATATGCGTGAGGTTCTTTTCAGGCCGTGGGTTGGTGATCATGTGTCACTTAGTCTTAAGTTTTCTATAATCTAGCCGGGGTGAAAATAATAAAGCGCTTGGTGGCAGTTCAACCGCAGAGGAGGAAGGCATTGCTGTATTATTAAGAACAAATTGAACAAATTATGTCTTTTGTTATCGAATTGCTTGGTATCTAACACTGTTTTTGTTCTGGGATGTCCGCGCCATAACTGCAAATCTAACGTGATATTTTCTCCCCTAGCACATGGTCCACATTAACTGCTTGTTTACCTTCGTCTCTAAATTTGTTGAGGAACCCGACAATAGATCGATTTGTCCTGGCTCTGGTAAGGTAATCGTTTTGCTGTAGTTAACGATGGTAATGCAGGGCGTAAATTCAGGCATTAAATAACTAGCCCTTCGTCATAGCGAATCAATAAGGCAAAGGTATGACGTTCGAAACGTCATTTACTCAATCCCCTTGCGGTGACCAATGTACTTCAAGGTGCAGTAAAATAGGCAACCAAAAACGTGCATCTTGCAACAATGATGCAAAACGGGTTGAATTGCGATGTTGCGTGTTTTACCACCTACGAATCAAACCTGTCTTGCAAAAAATCAGGCTCGCAGGTAGCCTGTGACCGGCAATTAAAAAATTCATGATAAAATTATGCATAGGCATTACCATGTACTGAGTACGTTTATTCTTTGCAAATTTAGGTGAATTCATCTCTGGCGTTCTTCATTTTCTCGTATCAAGTACATGAAAAGTCAATTCTTCTAGCCGCACTGTAAGTATTGAATCTCTTATACAATGTTTTTGTAAATAATATCCTAGAAAAATGGTTCATCGCTCGCAAAATACTACAATATTTTTGTAGACACCATTCTAGGGCATTGACTCATTGCTCGCAAAATGCTACCCAAATATCTTGAAGAAAATCTGCGTTTGATGTAAGGATCTAAGGAAATAAAGGAAATAGAAAAATCATTGAATATCAAATTGTTCGTTAGCTCTCCGCCCGGTGTTAGAAATCTCATTCGTGGAGGAGCATATGTTTTCTTTGTTATGACGAATCAAGGACATGTTTCCTAAATGTTTTCTATTTTCGTTGTTTTTTTTAATGTTTGTCGTTACTTGTTTAAAAAAAACAGTTCGTTGCTCAAAGCTCGTGTGTCCTGACATGATTTTTTGTTCTTTTATCAGCCCTGTATGCCTTCTTCTTCACTACAAGCCGTTTGAATGTTCATGGTTTTTAGTTATCTCCACTTTCAGGTAGGTACATGAAAGGTTATTTTTAAGTGATTTCATGCAGTCTCCACATTTGTTTTATTAACCTTACGATTGGACAGCGCCGACGCCGGTGAAAACGTCACGGAAAACTGGCGTCCTTTCAAACCTTTTCTCGATTATTCCAACTTGTTCATTCAGCTGAAGAAAGAGTACCGCTTCCTAAGCTTAGAACGATACAGTAAAATGTATCGCCTTCTCAAGAAAACTTAAAATTTGGTCATTTATTTTCACGTCGTAGTTTTGTAGGGAAGGCAAAGAAATGTACTGAAGAGCGTAGTGCACGCGCAGAGTTGTTGTTTTGCTTATGAAACCCATTGCGTTTTTGACTTTCTCGTTTCCGTCACCGTCGTAGTTTCGTAAGGTCCCTATTCTTCCAAAAAAACGCTGCCACTCAATAATGTTCTCACTGCTCGTTAACGTTGATCTATTTGTAGTATGTGGCCTTTGTTACTAAAGGATGGCCTAGCTCTTCCTTACATTTCCTGCATGTTGCTGTTCTATGCTGTTTCGTATCACGTGTTTGAACTGCACAAGACCACGACACGAAAGCAAAGTTTGGTAAGTTTGGTATTCTTGGCGTTTCTTAAGACATAAAACTTTCAAAATTTTTAACAATCCTGCAATTGACGTTCAGATGTGATCAAAGAGGGCGTTGCTACCTAATAGTATTTATTGAGTGGTTTCCTTTTGAAGTTAGAACCACTTTTTCGTCAAAATATTAAATAGTACCTCAATGAAAGTGATTGGTGGCAAGTTAGCGTTTCATTCAGAGACTCAAAACGTACCACAGGAAAGTACTGCTCAGTAGCTTTCATTTGAATGGTTACACTTCAGGAGCTCATCCTTAGGCCTAAAAATCAGAACCTCCTTGTACAGCATAAATGTCCTAACCACAGGGTTTTATCGCTCAATAGCTGTCCTCTCAGAACTCAGGCTTACACAAGTTTCAGGCGTACTTTTTAACTGACGTTTAGTTCAGTCAATTTACCTTTAAAAAGACATTCGGTGTAATTGTTGCTCCACATTGCTTTTATTCGTAGTTTCTTTTGTCGGTACTGGGTTCCCTGTGCCTTCACACTGGTTCGGCTATGGTCCAGCCCCCCAGACGGTACCCAGACCTCTGGCCGGTTCTCATCTCGCTCTACTCATGTTTACATTTCCTAGGATTTCTCTTTTATTTCAATTACCTTCAATTTATTCTTCCATTCAACGCTATACCTGTGGCAGCTAAAGAAAAGAAGTCTTAATAACGACAAATTACAGCAATAATTTTTGAGTAGCTTAGTTAGTGAACATGTCTATAGGGGGTAATTCCAAGACGCCTTTTTAGCTTTCTTACGAAGTGTGTGCCTATAATCAAGCTCTCCTTCCTTTTCGCGCCCCGCCGTCAGAGCGCCCCGGAGAGCTTGCTCGCAGGCTTGGAATTTTTCTTCCGAGGCGCCTGTGTGACTGACTGAATAATATATTTCTCAAACAAGAAATTGTACCGTGCTAAACAGGTTTCATTCGAATAGTCACACCATGGGAATTTCGTCCGGAGATAAAAAAGTTAGAAATTACTTCATGTGCTTCGCGTCTTCACATCGTTTGACTAATGTTACTTTTCGCCTTTTTCAAACCTGTAGCTAGCCCAAGAAAACAGCCGACATCTCGCAATACCATCACTGGTTTTCCCGCGAAAATGACGTCTTGGAAACGAGCGACAAATTCCATACAGATGACGTGCACTACCCCGATCTGTGTAGTGATTCTGATTGGTTGAAGCAAATTGTCAGCCAATCAGAAGCGCTAATTGGTAGTGACGCGTCAACAGTATGGAATTTCTGCGGTCGTTTCTCAGACGTCATTTTCGCAGGGAAACCAGTGGTGGCGTCGCCAAATATCGGCTGTTTTCTCAGGCCATTCTATAACACATCAAAGTTTCACGCGGAAGAAAACTGTTTAGTTTGACGTAACTATCTTTGCTCTTTTGTAAACATACTAATAGTTTATCTTCTTGTGTTCAATAAGATAGACTGCGAGCAATCTCTTATTTTTCTTTGCAAAGTTACTGCACGCGAAACTTAAGCACGCGAGCGGCGAGGGCGCTTGTCACGAGAAACGCCTCGCCTCAATCCCTAAATAATAACATCGTGGTTTGCAATCGCGCTGGATGAGATAAGAACTGGGCGGATTTTAAGAGAAAAGGCGGACTGCAAGCAGTCTGTCAATAAGACCATAGCTGGATTTACCGTATACTGATTTTAAAGTACAGTCTCTTACGTAACTTAACAAAACACAAGAGGCAGTGTTGCATCACATATCGAACACTTGAAGTTACGTTGCGTAAATAATTTTAAGGGAGAAATAAGGTACAAAGGATACAAAAACAAGGAGTTTTTAGAGTGGTTTTCGTTTGAGTGTCGTAAAACCAAAACCAAAACCAAAGTAATTACTCTGGCCAATCACATAGGACACAGACAATACATTGAACCAATCAAAACTCGAAGTAATTGCATGTGGCTGACGCAAAGCGCGGGAAAATGCATGCGAGCGCGTCACAATTGGCTTTGGTCTTACTTCTGATTGGATGAAAAGGTGGCGCGAATCTTTTAAGCCAATCGCATCATGTAGAAAGTGCAAAACCAATTACTTTTCGACACTCAAATGAAAACCGCTCTAATCCAAAAAGTAACTGGCCAATGTGCTTAATTTTCTGTCTTTGGCTTTATGAAGGTATTATTTTATTAGACAGTGGTCAAAAACGGAAACGCATTTATTTGATACTTATTCCAAAAAAGGTAGACTTTTAAAGTGTCTGTCATCAAAATAACAAAGACATCAGTTGGCTTTGTTATCCAGTAAACCAAACCTAAATCCGCAAAGTAACCTCTTACATCATCCGGTATAGACTTGTTTGATTGAAAACGAGAGGGAAATTAAATATTTAATAAATATCAAGTATTAATATATTACATAATATATGTATTGTGTTACATTTGGTAGAGCAGGGAAAATATACTCCATTTCTATGTCCAAATTTTCCATTCCTACGGATGGCAAGAAGAGACGTGAAAAAAACTGGACCTTTTTTTTTTTTCAAGTTTGTTAATGCTATGCTTGTTACAAATATTAGACTACGAGTAGTCCCCCATTTTTCCTCAGGGACAGTAGAGCGCGCGTGAAAATCACCCCACGCGAGACAAGGCGACATGCGGCGTGTCACCTTTTCTCGCGTGGGGTGATTTTCACGCGCGCTCGCTCTATTATCCCTGAGGAAAAATGGGGGACTACTCGTAGTCTACAAATATCACCTAAACATTATTATGGCTGGGGCTCCCTGATGAAAGTTGTGTGATATCTTCCTCATAACTCCGCTGGAGCTTTGAATTTTGTGAATGGGTTGAGGCAACTTTAGTACAGAATTGACCTAAAACAACAATAACTTGCCTAGTTCCTAGGCCTTATTATTCCGCGTGGCCAAAGCGTTTCGGGTCACGTGGTCCAAGCGAAGTGAAATGACCAAGAGGGACTGAGAAAACGCCGTACAGGGACTTTAGGAAAAGCAATATCCTCATGACATAGCTCCTTTAACCCTTTAAGTCCCAATAGTGACCAACATCAATTTTCTCCCAATGATATCCATACATTTTCAAGAGATTAGGTTATGAGAATTAATAAAATGATCTAAGAGAAAATGCTTGGATCTTTTACTAAATTCTCTCAACTCATTCTTTAAGGAAATATATAGAGATCAGTTTGGAGAATTTGTATGTGGATATTGGGGCTTAAAGGGTTAACTTAGCCTGCGAATGCAGCCCCTGGTCATCCAGGGGCTACCGGGCTATCCAGCCGATGCTGGGTACGTTTTGCAAGAGAACGACATCTCCCTCGCGAAATAAAAACGTTCCCATCGACAAGAGGCGGCTGTTTGTTTAACAAGTCAATTGAACTCACTCTGCCCTGACGTACACTTGAGGGATTGTATTTGCATGACTTTGAAAGAGGCCTCGGAGAAAGTGAGCCCCACATGCTAAAGATGCAGATGTGGCGGGTGGGAGGGGGACATCTGACACCTCTGCGCATAAGTGTGAACATCGTTATCGCTTCTCTATACTGTCCACTGGTCCAGACTCAAGAGCGCAGCGTCTCCATTTCGTCTGCAACAGCATCTAATCCGAGTAAATCCAACAGCGTCTTGCATTGCTGTTCGATAATCCTGACTCTCTTTATCGGCGACTCTCTTCGCCATTTCAAATAATTTGCACTTGAATCTCTTACATGAGAATATGGATTTTCCAAAGCTGCTGCAAGCTGTTTCTGTTCCGGATTCGTGCTACGTACGATCCAGTCTATCAAGCTATCAGGCATTTCGAAGCCAGCAAACTGGTAAATTTTCTTTGCAGTGGCTACTGGCATCGTTGCAATCTCTTTGTACCTAATTTCCATATACCTATTTCTTAGTGATTCCACGGAATGCAGCTTTCTTCCAATCTTAATGTTTGTAGCAATTTTGCGACACAGTGAAGAAACAGACATGGGAAATCCCGTGTATGTAAAATCAGAAATCCAACCACTTCTTATCTTCGAATTAATACTTCCTCGTGGATCGCGTACGATTTGAATAACACGAACGTCTGTATCCGCATTCTCGTCAAATATACTCGAGATAAACGTAAAGATGCTTTCGCGAGGGGTACGAACTTGGCCTACTTTGACAACACTATGGTTAAATTTATTGAGACAGACCTGTTCGGCGAATTTGGGATATTTGTAAAGATCGGGCCAAAATTTCTTTCCAGATTTTGTTCTTGCGGCAAATGCTGGGGTTCTGAAGACATTTTTCTCAAAAACGCCTTTGGCAATCCACGAAGGATGCGTGTTGGCTAGAAAGCTTCTTGCGATCTGTGATTGAGTGAAGTGGCAAGACAACAAGCCATTCACTACGTCTTGCACAACAATGTCTTTGTCTCTGGGATCTACGATTCCTAACTGGTTAAACCATTTCTTCGTCACCCATAAGGGTTCATACACTGTGAACATTTGAGGGTCCGCAGCAAACATTTTAGTAACGAAAGTTGTGCCCGAGCGATCGTCTCCGAAGATCAGAAGGCTCCTACGTTTCTTCTTCGGGTGCTGATCGGAGGCACGGAGTTTACTCGCGACCTTCGGCGCTAAATTCTTTTCAAAATTTGAAACAACTTTGCTAGATTTTTTGCCGTGATTGGTCCGATTAACCGGTGTTTCCTCCCTCGGACGCTGATTGAAATCTTGATATATTGAGATCTCTTTGTTTAAAATTTCATCAAAAGTCTTTTCTTTCTGAGCATCGTCGAAATCCTGGAGATCATCCCTGGTTTTCTGCTTCAACTTATATTCCGATACAGCCTCGTTTGGAAGCCGACGAATTATTCCTTTCTGAATGTGATTCCAAGTACTGTCTAAAGTATCTGAATGACTGACACCGTTCTTCCACATATATACAGCAGACCTGGAATTTGGTTTAGCTGTCATGGCCCTATCTCGCATCTGGCTAACATTACCTCCAACATTATTAACAGCAGTTAAATTTTCAAACCGCACATTTGCCCATAGCTGTGAATTTTCGTCGGTGTTCGGTCGTCGAATCTCAGAATCAGATTCAACTGACGTTCTATTTTCAAATCCTACTTTCGTCGTTTCTGAATCCTTTCTCGAGTCTGCTTCTGTCTTTCCCATAATATTCTTCTGAGAATCAGTTGAATGTTGTTTAAAAGTTCCAACTGTGGTGTATGGTGTTGAAGTTTTAACCAGTTCAGACGTTCGTTTTAAATCCAATTCCGATTCGGAAATCCTGTGATAATCATCGGGAAAGCTTCGTATACCGTTCGGTAATCCTCGCTGGAAATGAAAATGTGATACGTTCACGGTTTTATTAAGTAAACTTCCAGGGCCAAACTTTTTCTTGGTCTGGTTTGAAACACGTCCAGACTCCTTTAAACGTTTTCCTTTCCTAAACTTGTATCTGCGTTTAGATGGAGCTTGGGATGTACCAGACATTTGCTGTGAAGTGTTCGTATGAAAATTGTACAAATCTTTGAAGAAGGAATCCTTTTTGTTCATTAAGATATCAGACCCTTTGTTCGCATTTTCAAAATAAGGCGTCTTCGGAAATGGGAATTCCTTCGCAATATACGGCGAATTTTCTATTTGATGAACCATGAAGAATAAACATATGCCCGAAACTATTACCACAGTTAAGGCGATTCTGAGAAATTTCGAGATTTGAAGTTGCTTCCAAGTTCTCATCTTCAGTGGCTCTTTGTTTTCAATATCCAGTGATTAACCTATGTCCAAAAGGATCGGATAAAAAGACTTGCATTAGTGACAAAACACAT